CTAGGATGGGACGCGGGTAAAGAACGAGGCACATGGGATGGGTTACTGATCGTGTTCGTTAATTAAAAGAAGTAATTAATTTTGTGATGAATGTAAATCCTTCGCATACAATTTTAAAATGTTGTTTTCTATTATTAGCATGTTTATAATGTAATTATTTTTGATTCGCGTACAATTCCATTCTCCTACATGTTTAGAATGCTTAAGCTAATGCAGAAAATTTTAGTCCTTATTGTCACCTCAAATCTACTACTAATCGGTTGAAAGAGTGCGTTCTTATGCGGCCAAGTCACGAATACAACTAACATAACCACCAAAATAACTATGGGCACTTTTCTCTCCACCACTCGCTAAACAAAGTTTAGTCTAATGTTTGCTATTTCTCACAAAACGGTCATGGCTGCTTGTGCTTTATTGTATCTGTTCAAAACCGTATGTACTTAAATTTAATTGAGAAACTAATTAATTTTGTTTTGCTTTTATAACTTTAAGAGAAATAGAAATGCTTTTACAGAATTAAAATTTTACCAATAACATCAAAAAAATGATCAAAGTTATTATACGTAAAATTTAATTTTATGATCTTTTATATTGGAAATAGATTTTAATGTGAATTTATTTGGCTAAAATATATAAATTCAAATGATTTTATTGGATTTTAAATATAAGAAAAGCTAACTCAACACTAATTACAATAGCATTCTGCCATTCTCGATATTCACAATCTCTTAGACTCTATGTTAGGTTCAGACATTTGGGTGTATATACGTTTTTTTTTCATGATTGAAAGATATTGGACTCTAAAAAAACATGTTAGCTTATNGTCATCGAGTTCTTTNAATTTNATATAACCTAAANACAATTAGATAACCTCGAATGTTTGAGTTAGTTTAAATTATGTTAATTTGTTCCATAATGATGCTAGATCATGTATATTAAAACATAATACGTAAAAGATTTTCTTTTAATGGCCAACCATTTTGAAATGAAAAATATTAATTAAAAATTTTCCGCGTAAAGAGGTTTCGAAAAGAAACATCAATTACTAATTTAGTCTAAGTCCACGATTTCTTAACATATCTTACTAAAATCCTTTCACTAAACGGTTATTTGAAGATTTGCAGATTTTCCATGATAATTAGAGTATATGTTTCTAATTGAACCCAATAATCATCCTTATGAAAACTTTCCTAGCGATATTACTTATACAAGGTTCAATGCATATTTAGGGAATCATTATGGCTTTCTTACAAGAGTCGACACGTCTCTCATCCTCCAAAAGATGGAACTCCTACCCAGAGCTCTGTAACTATTCCTACGACATTTCAATATTTTATGCAAGACAAAAGATATGAATTCTGATCCAAACAAGTAGCGCTAAAGAAGAGAAAGATGAGATGCTCCACCGAAAGAAGACAAAACATATTAGTTTTTTTTTTAAATATCTTACTGTTCAAATTCAAATTTAAATATTTTATGTAGAGACAAAAAATAAAATAAAAATCAACTGGAAGTTCATCCATCAAGTTTTCCCATAAAATAACATAATGTGGATATCGTATGGTTTCTTTTAATGATTATGTGTGTGCTCAAGATTTAGCCATTCATGTTTTGGTTTAGCAACCTTAATAAAAAAATTGATGACTTAGGGTTATTTACAAAGATTAAACTTTAGATGTTTGTATTAGGATTTAGGCTACGATGCTATAGTTTAGGGTGTAGGGTCTATTTGTATTGTTTTCAATGTTTACGTAAATTTGTGAGGGTTTAGGCTTCCATGTTAGGGTTTAGTATCTCTAAATTTTCAAATAAAAAATGATGATATAATATGAATGAATAATTTTAAACGTTTCTTTAAAAAAACTAATAAAAAGTATAACTAAATAAAAAATATTAGGAATTAAAAATAATAGAAATGAGGAAACTCAAAAATGAGGATGATAATAATAGTGAAAAATGGATAAAATATTATAAATAATAGAATTAGTTATCTTCAAAACAAATAAATAAATATACAAAATAAATGTATTGTTTTGAATATTTTACGTGCATTTGTGATAGTTTAAATTTATATATTAGGGTTTAGTACTCCTTAATTATGTTAAAAATATAAATTGTTTTCAATAGTTTATATGCATTATGGAAGATTTACGCTCACATATTACCCTTGAATTTTTTAAAATTATAAATCAAAATTTTATTTCGAAATAATTAACTATATCAATGTTTTGAAATTTATTATCCTGCGCAGGGCGCGGGTACTGCCCTAGTTACAATGTCAGTAAGCAGCAGCATTTCATCTTCTTGAAATAGGTCTAGGAAAGTCGTAAAGGCTTTTAACGCCTTAGCAATTTTGAAAGGTCCAATAAGCTTCAGAGAATTAGTACGTAATATCCTCTCTACGAATATCACTAAAACAATTTTTTCCCTAAAAGTGGAACTGGAACCATTTTTCCTTAGACTTTTACTTGTTTGTTTTACTACACAAAGAATTTAAATTGATCATAAAACCAAATAAAATTAGTTTAGCTAATTTTAAAATTAAATTAAGTAAACCGTAATCACGTTTTAGGATTCAACTCGGCCAGCTTTTTTTAGGAAAGAGTTTCAACTCCAATCTCCCCTAAAAACGTCTTTTTTCTATTCGTCTCACTTTGATCCTAAATGATAGAAGATATAATTAATTTTAACTGGATCGATGTTGTTATAGGATATTAACATGCAAAAAAACTGGTCTAAACCAGCTTGGTAAAGTTCAATGTTCGGAATCCAGGTTTAAACCTTTTTACCTAAATATATAAACTAGCTCGGAATACGTCAAAAGAAAAGGAGTTATTACTTTTTCTAAACGTGCAATTATAATAAAACAAAGCACATGATAACCAATAGATTTTTTGACAACTAACATTCAAACTTGAAATCCTACAATTCTTCAAGAGTCAGCACAAATATTCTTTTTTTTTTTTGGGTCGAAATTGATTTTATTGAAATTAACCGGGTTAATCACTAAACCATATAGACCCGGCTTAGTCAATAAAGCCGATTTGGCGAGGTGATCTGTCTTTGAGTTCAGATCTCGTGGAATGAAGATGAAAGATGAGATTTTCAGATCATGAGCAAATTTTTGGATGTCTTGGATAATCCCGTATATGTCTAAGTGGGATCCTCTTGAATTGATCAGGTTGATAAGCTGCTTACAATCCGACGCAACGCTTCCGATCTGGAGTCCTCGAATTGATGCTTGGGTCAATCCTTCTCGCATCGCCGATGCTTCCGCCATGAGGGGGTTTGAGATCTGAGGAACAAGTTGCGATCCCTGAGCTACCATCCAGTTATCAGCGTTGCAGATGAGCCATCCCAGTCCTGCATCTGATTAGTCTGTTTTCCAAGCCCCATCGGAGTAATGGCGCAATCCATGTCCTGGTAAGTGTGATCTACTTTCCTCTATAGTATTGCGTTCAGTAGGTAGTGGTTCTTGTGCCTCTAGCCATTCTTTCGCGTCCTGGATGGCCTTGGCCATTGTTTCTTCTACGGTATAGATCTGATTGTTAAAAGCTTTGTTGTTTCGTGCTATCCACAAGGTCCATAGAATCCAAGGTAGAAGATGACCCGAGTTGAAACCCGTTGGTGCTAAGCATACGAGCTGCTTAGAGAGACCAAGAGCATAAGGCATGTCTGTGATTTGGAGCGGATTGACCTCGGTCTTGAAAGGTCCCAGTTGCGATATTTGTCTTGCAAATTGACAGTAAAAGAAGAGGTGAGTAATGGTCTTAGGTTCACCGCATCTGCAGCATTGAGCTTGATTTGTAATTCCCCTCGATGCAAGTTGTTCTCCTACACGTAGAGCACCACTCATTGCTTTCCACATAAATAGTTTTAGTTTTTGGGAAACGTTTATCGACCATATCTCTGAATTCCAGTTGATAGCAGGTGAGGTAGGGTCCAAATTGGTTGAGGCATTCTTGGTTGAGTGGTAATCTGATTTTACTGAGTAGAGTCCTGAGGGGTTGCCCAGCCATGCATACTGATCCTCTGCCCCCGTTAAACTTGACTTCAGTTGTAAGATGTCCTGCTTCAGGCCAGGGAGGACGTTCTCAATCATCTCTAGGTTCCATCCTTTATTGTCAGGTAGAAGTAGTTCCTCTACTAGCATATCTTTATTATGA